GCTCACCGGGGCCAACTTCACCGCCCTGGGCGTCCCTCCTTCTCTACTCCTACGCCTGTAGACGTGACCCCCGTGCAGCAGAGCTGACTGGCCCGGGTGCTGTGCTCGACGCCCCCAGAGATGTTTCCTTTGTCCTCACAGCAGCGCTGTCGGGCGGTGCAGTGTTTCCTGCAGTCCCAGCAGGGAACGCGAGGCTCACACTCAGCGTGGTGACGGCCGTCGAACCCGACTCTCCCCGGGGGCCCTGCTCTGCACCCGGCGTCCTGGCACCTTCCGTGCCATGCATGCTGCTCCTCAGCCTGGAAGTTTCTTCCCTCCATTGTCCTTGTCCTTCAGGCCTCGCTTCAGCGACCTCTCCCTCCAGGACCCCATCCCCTGTGGCAGCGCTCACAGTGCCATCCCTCTACTGGGCCGCGTCCTCACTGTAAACTCTGAGGGTCTCTTGCTCACACCTGAACTGGGAGGGCTCGGAGATCTGCAGAGTGAGGATGGATGGACAGAGCCCTTCACCCTCTCTCGCCAGCTTCCGTCCATCCCCTGCCAGTGGTCAGCATGATCTCTTAAAACCACAAAGCCCACCAGGCGTCTCCGAGCCTTTAGGACAGGGCACTCCGCTCAGGCCTGCAGCTTCTCAGGGGAAGCCTGAGGGGACTGGGGGCGGGGACCCACACCCACTGCCCCCGTGCTGTTGGGGTGCTTGTCCTACTCTTCCCCACCCACTCCCCCTTGTCGCCCTCCACTCTCAAGGGGTCACTTCCTAGGGGCAGCCCTGGCCTTGTCTCTCAGCGTAAATGTGCCCCCGTCGGACTCCTGCTCGTGTCTTAAGCTCCATGTGCCCAGCCTGGCACACAGCAGGAGCCCAGCCACGGCCAGGGGTGAGCAGGTGACGGCTCTCGATGCCCCCGCAGGGGCCGAGGATGAACGCTATCCACCGGCTTGCTCCCCGGTCGCCCCGGTGTGAGCAGCTGCAGGTCCGCTTGCTCACCCACAGATGCCGGCTGAGCTCCTGCCGTCTGTCCCACCGGGGCCTGGAAACAGGCGAATGGAAGAAGATTCAGGCTCCCAGGTCAGGAAGCCAGGCCCGTCCTAGTGTCACCAGGCAGCAGAGGTGCGAGCCTAGGGCTCTGGGGGCCCCTGGGCTGAGCCCAGGCATCAGCCTGGTGCTCTGCTCACGTGACCATCCAGGGAGCGGACAGGGAGGCCTTCCTGGAGAAGGCGGTGCCTGAGCAGACTGTCCCGGCATCCCTAGCAGGTTGGGAGCCAGCCTGGTGGACGTCTGGGGACCTGCGGGAAGAGGGTGAGCAGGGCCAGATCCGGTCCTTGCCGGTCCGCCCTGGCCCTGGAAGTTGGAGCAGTGGAAAGTGCAGGGGGGCTCTAGCGGGGAAAGACCCTGTCCCACTACATACACTTCAGACCTTCGTTTTGCAGGCCTGGGGGCAGCGGTACCAGTGACAGATACCTAATTTGCGGGACCCAGTGCACACAAAAACACAGGGCTCCTTGTTCAAAATTATGAAGAACTTCAAATGGCTACAGCAGAGACAGCTGAGGCCCCAGAAGGCAGTGGAGGGAGGGACGGGGCAGGGGGGTGACGCTGCGGGACGCAGCTCAGCCCGGCAGGGCGGTCACAGGTGATGAAGATGGAGGCAAAGAACCGGGTTGCTGGCAGACCCCGGGTCCAGGTGCTAGGAGCCAGCACCCGGTGGCAGCAGACCCCGGGTCCAGGCGCTGGGAGCCAGCACCCGGTGGCAGCAGACCCCGGGTCCAGGCGCTGGGAGCGGCACCCGGTGGCAGCAGACCCCGGGTCCAGGCGCTGGGAACCAGCACCCGGTGGCAGCAGAACCCGGGTCCAGGCGCTGGGAGCGGCACCCGGTGGCAGCAGACCCCCAGCACTGGGACTCAGGGCCCTGGCTCTGGGCCTGGGGTCATCGGTGCAGCATGAGGGGTGGGAAGGGACACCCGCAGGGGGGTGTGCAGGCCACGGGGTGCTGAGGAGGCAGCCTGGGGTGCTGGGACGGGGGGCCCGGAGGAAAGGCTGAGAGGAAGCGGGGCAGGACCCAGGAGGCGGTGGTGTCTTCTGGGTCGGGCAACCCTGGGGGCTTTGGGAGGCCCCCTCGTCTTTCATCACCCCCAGCCATGCTCTCTGTCCCCAGCTCCTGTGGCCCCCACTCAGTCCGAATCCCTGGTGGTGGATGGAGCAGGTGATGGGGCCTCTGGAACCTCTCTGCTCAGGCTCAGCCCACAGGGCTCCCCTCGCCCTAGAGCCCACAGGCGTCTCTCTCAGGGCCTCCAGGACACCCCCCTTGAGGACACTCCCTCGGATCGGGATCCTCCCACAACCATACCCCCTGGCCTCTGTCGCCCCTCACCTGCCCGCCTGCTTATGTGCTGCGGTGGGGCCAGAGGGTCCCTGACGGCTGCTGTCCCCTCAGGCCTCCCTGAACCCCAGTGACCACAAGCTGGATGAGGAGCTGTGCCAGACACTCACACAGCGCTACACGAGCATCATGAACCGGCTGCAGAGCCTGGGCTACAACGGGCAGGTGCACCCGGCACTGACCGAGCAGCTGGTGAACACCTATGGCATCCTGCGGGAGCGGCCCGAGTTGGCCACGTCCAAGGGCGTCTCCTACACTGTGGATTTCCTGCAGCGCGTGCTGGTGGAGACCGTGCACCCCAGCATGCTCGCCGATGCGCTGCTGCTGCTCTCCTGCCTCAGCCAGCTGGCGCACGACGACGGCAAGCCCATGTTCATCTGGTGATGCTGGCTCGCTGTGGCCCGCACCTGGGTGCACAGCCATTAAAGCTCGCCTCGGACACTGGCCTCTGGGCCTGCGCTGGTACTCCTGGGTGGTGCTGCCTCCTCTGGGGGGCTCGCCAGCGCCCCCTCCCCAGCTCCCCTTCAGTCCTGCCTGCCCTGTAGGTTCATGCCCCTTCCAGGGCCCCTGGGGAGAGCCCCAAGACCAAAGCTCAGCAGCTGTCTTACCAAGGGGGATGTTCCAAAGGCCCCAAAGCTGGCCTGGCACTGGGAGCACAGGAGCCCCTGAGACCTGGAGGGGGGAGAGCAGGAAGCAGGAAGGAGCCCAGCTGGCAGGCAAGGGTCGTGGGTGTGCCAGCAGGCCTGGTGACGGGCATGGAACTGAGGCCTGGGCACAGAGCAGGAGGCAGAGGCGATGTCAAGAGAAGGATGTGGGCGTGGGAGCGCCTCCCTCTGCACGAGGCAGCAACAAGTACTTCTGGAACCTCACTGAGGGCAGGAGAACGTTAAAGGGAGGGGAGCCAGGAGGAACCTGGGCACCGCGCAGCCCAGGGAGACGGGGTCCCTGCCAAAGGCCCCGCAGGAAGGGACCGGACTGGGAAAGTCAGAGCCGGCGAGGGCAGATCCCACCTACTGCAGGGGCAGAGCTGAGGTGCACAGGCCGATGGAAAGCCGAACAGAGCAGGGGAGAGCAGGAGTGGGGATGGGGTGGGGTGGGATTCTTGGAGGTGACCTATAGACTCGGAGCGGGAAGGGCTCATGGAGAGTGCGGATGCGGAGGGGTGCAGGCCAGGATGCTTGTCCCTTCAGGACATGCGTGAGGAGAGGAGAGCAGTGTGGGTCAGAGCAGAGGGCCTGCCTGAAGAAGGGGAAGAGGTGGTGGGGATGCGGACCCCAGCCAAGGAGGCTCTGGAAGCACCGCTGCCTGCCAGCCTGAGGATCGCAAGTGAACAGAGGAGCCCCTGGGTCTGGGTTCAAGCAGGGGAATCATGTCAGCAACCAGCGAGGGGTGCAGAGGAGAGGGGTGTAGCGCGTGTTGGGGTGCTCTGGCCCCAGGGCTCCGTCTTCTTGCTCTCCTCACTGCCGGGCTGCTACTTCAGGAGATGAAGCCAGACCCCTGGGAAAGGCAGGGAAGGCCTCTGTGTATAGATATGTTAGAGGGCTACACATACAGATCTTCTAGCTCTGCCTGCTGAGAAGGCTTAGCAATACAACAAACCCACAGCAACGAGCACACCCAGCACCAGATCTCGATTTGTAAAAGGCATCGGGGATTTCTGGAAAATTGGGGGCTGGGGGGGAGAGCAGAAGCCCCTTCTCCTCCATGTCTGTAGGTGTGAAGGGCAGCCCTGGCCCAAACTTCAGGGCAATTTAAGAGACAACCTTAAGAGCTCTAGGAACTGGTTCACAGCTCGAATTAGGAAGGTGGAGGGCAGGGCAGCGCCTGAGCAAGCGGGAGGCGGCTCGGTCCTGGGATGCAGCAGAGCGGGTGCAAGAGGCTCCGTGGATGCGGAGCTGGCTTCCACCTGGCTCGCGTGCCCCGGCGGCCCGGCCTGCTGTGCGGGGCCGAACCAACAGCCCTTCCCCCAGATTGGAAGCTTCTTGGGGGAGGGTCACAGAGCCGCCTCCACTGTGGGCGGTGCCCGTCGCTGAGCCGGTGGCTGGTGAGGCCTCTCCGAGTCCGCCCCTTCCTCGGACTTGGGGGAAGCAGGTCGGGGTGGGGTAGATCCCGCAGTCTGGGCAGCGGGAGCGCCGGGGCCATTACGCTCTGACTCGCGGGAGGAGGGAGAGGGGGATGCAGCGCGCATCGCGCTCCACTCCCTGTCGCTGCGCCGGCCCGCATTAAAAAGTGTCGCGCTCCACTTGGTGTGGGCTGCACCCAGAAGTCGCTCCCATCGGGCGGGTCTGGGGGTTCTCCCTGCGGCTTTCAGGGGAGGGCGGGGCGAGAAGGATCTGGGGCGGGACCAGGGTCTCTTTCGCTTTTTCTTTTGTTCTCCAACCGCCGCCGTGGTTCCGCGCGGGTGAGGAGAGGGCGGCTTCCCGGGTGGCTCCGCCTGTGCCCATACCCCCAGGCTCGCGGGGACTCAGCGCCTTGCCGCCTCCGCGCACAAGTTGTGCCACGTGGCCTTGACCCCTGTGACTCCCCTGCAGCTCCCGGGCACGCACGAACGAGTCGACTCGCACGCTGGAAGCCAGTGAGTCGTCGGAGAGACTTGCTACCAAGAGCCCCGCGCGCCACGCCATGCCCGCCCGACTGGCCGCCGACGCCCTGCGCCCTACGGCCCTCCCCCTGCCCGCACCCTGTGCTGCACGCTCTCCCCGGCCTAGCCCGCGCGCTACGTTTCTCGGCCTGCTGGGCCCTGGACCAGCTGCTGGGCTGCTGGGCGCCGGCCGCACGCCCGAGTGACCAGATCTGGCTGAGCGCCGCAGCGGGCGCCGGAGCGGCTCTGCCGCTGCTGCTGCTTGTCGGCCTGCCTGTGGCACTGCCGGACCTGCTGCTGCAAGCCTGGCGCCGTCCCTTCTGCTACCAGCCCCCTCCGCAGTGCTGAGCGCCCCCCACGCCCTGGCGCCCCCCCAATTGAGCCCGCGCGCAGCTTCAGCTTCTTCGGCGTCAACCTGTGCCTGCTCCGCCTGGCACCCAATCTGGGCCCGGTGTCGTACGACGTGGCACATTCGGCCTGCAGCCCGGGCTACACCTGAAGCTGCTGGGCAGCGGGCTGCTGCTGGCCTCGCGCTACCCGCTGCTACGCGCAGATTTCCAGTCCTCCCTCACGCACGTCGCGAGGATGCGCTGGCCTCCAAGGGTCTACTTTCTGCACAGGTGCCCGCCCACCGGCCGCGGCGCTCCGGCACCCGGAAGGGGGCGGGGCATGGGGTCGAACGCGCGAAGGTCCCCAAGCGCAGCTGGGCATCCCGGACGGGCGCCGCATCGTGGGCTTTCCTGCACTGCACGTATTTGCATTCGCCGAGCGGTGAGCCCGACTGGCTGCTCGTAGGCTCGTGGGCGGGCCGCCCCCCCCCTCACTCTGCGCGGAGTCCCAATCCTTGTCTGCACCTCCCCTCCCCCCACCGTTTATTCACTGCCCCAGGCGCAGCCAGTCCCTTCGAGTGCTGGTGGGCTCACAGATCGGGACCGGGCGGGGCGGGGGAAGGCGCGGGCGCAGCTGGGTGTCCAGGAGGCAGAATGGCACCTCGGACTGAGCCTTCCTTCCCTCCCCGTCCCTCCCCTCCAACCCACCCTGCCCCGCAGAGGACGGGCTCCTGCGCCGCACACAGCTGACGCTGTTGCTGGACTGGGCCGAGCTGTCCGAGGTTGAGAGCCGCCAAAGTGACGAGGCCGTGGCCTTCAGTGTGCGCCTGGGTGACCTAAACTGCGCGCTTAGGTGAGAAGAGGCTGCAGAGGGGCGGGCGGGCGGCCCCGCCCACCGAGCGCCGGCCTCTCCGCAGACCACGCGCGGGAGCAGCGGCACCAGCTGTTCAGCCGCTTCCGGGACCGCCGCCGGCCGGGGACGCGCTGCGGTTGGGGGCGGACGGACCTAGGGCGGGCTCGCGGGCCAGGCTCCCACTGATACCGCCCTTCCCCGCCCTCCTCCGCCCTCCCCAGGAACGCGGCTGAGATCCTGCCGTCTCCGCCACTCCGTGGCCTGCTCCGCCGAGATGCTGAGGTGAGTGGCCACCTGGGGGCCAGGCAACGCCCGGAAGGAGGGCTGCCCTGACCTTGGTGACACTGCCACCCTCCTCAGGGCCTTGGAGCAGGAGGAAGGGCGCCGCCACTCCCTGGCAGGCCCTCCCAGGGGAGGCCGCCCGGCTGAGCACTGGCGGGCCGGCGCCTGGACTACGTCACCTACCGAGGAGGACCCGGAGGCGTTCTGAGCCCAGTACGTGCCAGAGCTCAGGGTGCTGGGCCTGCTGGCGCTGGGGCGACCCCTCAACCTGACTCCTGCCCCCAAGAGGTGGAACGGGTGACATTCAGCACCGCCCTGGCGGGGCTTACAGACCACCTGGCTGTGGGACTTGCAAGCCCTCCTAAGGCAGGTACGGAGGAGACAGGTGCCAGCACGGGTGGAAAGACAGGGACGCAGAACGTGAGCCTGGCCAGCCGCCACTGGAACAGGACGACTTCAGGGATCTTTATTGTGCGGGGCCCTCCCTCACACAGTCTCCTGGGCCCTGCGGTACTCATAGACGCTGCCCCGCTCAGGGAAGGCTAGGGGCTGCAGGAGCGACGCCGGCAGAGGGGCGGGGTCCTCTGGGTCCCCATAGCCCCCGCCGCCTGGTGTGTGGAGACAGAACACATCCTGTGGGGCAGAGGGGAGGTTCAGCGTGGGGATGGGCTCTGCCTGTCTCCTGCCGCCATCCCATCCCCGGCGGGGCAGTGCGGCCACAGCAGCCAGCTGGGACCCCAGAGTCTGCAGCCCCCATCCTTCAGGGGCCAAATTAAACTCCGTCTCTAGTTATCTGTGCAACTCCATTCACTCTGTGGGATGAGGGCAGCTGGGGGTGGGGGCGGGGATGGGCCAGGCCAGGCCGCAATCCTTACCCCGGGGGACACAAGCACCGAGGTCTTCCCACCCAGATTCACTGTCCGGCCGTCCTTCCGGATCAGTAGGTTTAGGCCACGGGTTCCGGGCTCACCCCCTGCAAGAAGAGGCAAGGTGGGGGTGGCCCAGGAGGCAAGGAAGTGAGAGACGTGGGGAGTTGGTGGGGGAATAGGGGGGTAGATGGGACAGGAGGTGGGTGGGGAACTGAGGGCCGTGATGGGCTGGGGGGAGAGGGGAAGGGAGCCACTTACCCATAAGGCCGTAAGGCTGGAAGGCGCGGCGCTCGGTCAGCACTGACAGTAGCGCCTCCTCACGAAAAAGCAGCTCGCGGATAACACCATCGCCGCCCCGGAAGCGGCCGCGCCCCCCAGACCCCAGTCTCAGTTCAAAGCGGCGCAGGATAACTGGGTACCTGCGCGGGGCCAGGGTCTCAGCCCAGCCCGCCCCGCCCCTGCTCCACCCCAGGCCCGGCTCCTCAGCCCCACCCCTTCCTGCACGGCTCACCTGCTCTCCAGGATCTCGGGGTCGGTGATCCGTGTGTTGGTCATGTGGCTGTGCACACCGCCGCGCCCATGCCAGCCGGGGCCCGCGCCCGCGCCACCCGCCACCGTCTCGTAGTAGCCCATGTGGGCGTTGCCCAAGGTCACGTTGTTCATGCAGCCCTGGCAGGGGCAAGTGGCCGCTGCACTGGCTGGGGGTGCGTCCCCTCTCGGCCAGTCGCAGCCTGCAGCCCTCCCCCCTCCCCCCGCCCCAGCAGCCCCAGAGCTGTGCCCACCGGCCCACCACACCTGGGAAGCAGCGCAGGCCCCGAAGGCCCCCAGGATGACGTCCACCACCCGCTGCGACGTAAGCACGTTGCCACCCACCACCGCCGCCTCTGGGGACGGGTCCAGGATGGAGCCCTTAGGGATCACAACACGCACCGGTGCCAGGCAGCCCTGTGGGGAGAGGGGCCAATGCTCAAGAAGAGTTGGGAGGTACACCACACGCATCCCTAGGATCAGTCCGACCTTGGGCTGACCTAGCCCCAGGCTCCCTCAGGGCGACGTGGGGCTTGGGGTTGACCTGCTGTCCGTGTGCACAGCACACCCTTGCACACCTGGTTGAGTGGGATGTCGCGGCCGACCAGACAGCGAAGGCAGTAGATGAGCGCAGACAGCGTGATGGCCCGAGGCGCGTTGAGGTTGCCGAACACCTCGGGCCCCGTGCCGCTGAAATCAAACACCGCGCTACCCTGCCCGCCAGAGAGGAGGGGAGAAGTCAGCAGCCGGGTGGCCACGGCCCTGATGCCTGGGGAGGTCCTTCCTCCCAAGACTGACCTCACTCACGTTGATCTGCACTCGGAGTCGGATGGGAGAACCGTCGTCCATGTGGTCCTCTGCAGACACCTCCAGGGACAGGCCCCGGGCCTGCCGGGAGGTTCCAAAGGCCCGAAGCATGTCTCGCACAGCTAGCTCAGCGTTCGCCTGGTGGAGAGTATGTTCAGTAACGGCCGCGCCACCTTCCAGGTGGGCCAGGTGCCCCCCACCTCCGTCCACCTGCCTGGGGCAGGCACAGAGCTGCCGGCTTGCTCCTTCCCCCCCCCGGCCCACCTGAATGTGGCCCATGTAGGCCTGCACCACATCCAGGCCGTACTGCCCAATGAGCTCGCCCACCAGCTGGATGCCCTTCTGGTTGGCTGCCACCTGGGCACGCAGATCTGACAGGTTGTCGTGCAGGTTCCGTGTTCCGCTGCAGCCTGGAATCTTGCCTGGTGCCTGCAGGGCTTCAGTTACCGCTGAATGGATGGGATCGCCACTGAGCCACTCAAAGTCCCAGGGCCACCTGGTGCCCTGCTCCACCTGCTGTACTTCTTTGCTGGGGCACTTGCAGGGACCACCTGTTGGCCCATCACTGGCTCCCCACTACCCTGCTGGCTCTTCCAGGTCCCTGAAATTCCCCAGCTTCCCTCCATCAGCTACTGAACCTTCTTGCCACACCACAATGCCCCAGGGCACCCTAGGATGGGACAAGCAGCTTTGACCGTGACCATGATCTCACGTGGGCTGGAGGTACCCGGGGCAGGGGGCAGGGCAGGGGGAAGGTTCCCTCAGCAAACGCTCCTCCCTCCTTCGTTTCTCCTGCCCTACCTCCCCACCACCTGGCCCACACTCTCCAGCCTTTTCTGGGCTCCTCTCCCCTCTCCCAGCAGGAAAAACCACTTCCCTTAACCCTCCCACACTCACACTGCCCTCAGCCCTGGGGCCCCGAACTCACCGCCACAGCCAGTCGTTTTGAAAGAGCGCCAGCATGGCTGCCTGTGCGCCCCGCCACCACCCCCAAAAGATCTGGACAAGGCGTCCACCTCGGGCAGCAGTACAGGTTCTGGCCCCGCGGACCACTCCCTGCTTCGGGAAAGCTCCCCTCCTGAGTCTGCATCAGGGTCCTCTCAGGCTCCCTGGCCACTGGGTCCTCTGCCAGACATGCCTGCACAGGTCCCTCGGTGACCCCTACCCTCTGCCCCCACCCCATACTGACCAAGGGAGCAGCCAGGCCTCAGTCACTCTGCTCGTGTTCCCAGCACCCACAGCAGCCCGTGGCTCTGTTACCCCGCCTTCCACCCTGCCCACCTCACCTGCTCTCATTCTGGGATGCCCCCAGGGCTCTCACACCAGCTGTCCCTGACCCCCAGGTCCCATTGCAGTTTCTGTCCCACCTTCCTGGCAACTGCAGTGCCAGGACCTCCATCCTACAGCTGTCCAAACTTGATTCCCTCCCCGCTGCCCAAATCCCACCACTTAGCAACCCTGACCTCCAAAACACCCTCACCGTTGCTTCCCAGCTTGAGGCTCAGCATCTTCCAGGGCGAGAGCAGCTGCCCCCACCCCACGCCCCCTGCCTGGCCTGCAGGAGCCTCCATGCGCCCTGCACATAGGCGGGGGACTTGCCTGGTGCACAGGCAGCTCAGGCCCAGCTGAAGCCCTTCACAGCTGCCCAGTGACTGACCCAGGCCCAGGAAAGCTCTCCGAGAGCCTGCAGCCCCTGGCCGCTGGTGCTGCCGTGTCTCTGCAGTCCCCAGACCCAGTGCAAACCCAGTGCAAATCATAAACGCCACCAGCAGCCGCCCACCTTAAAATAGGCTCCTTCCCCTCCTGCACCCAATCCCTTGGGTGTCCTGGCCAGCTCCCCACCCCCAAACCTTCCAGGCCTCCTTGGACCCAGGCAGAACTCAGCTCAGCTCGTCTGATCACCTCTGAGAGGCGATCTGCAACCACCCTGGGGGGTCACCGACCAGCTCCCTCAGCCTGGAGGCCGGCCTAGGCCAGGGGGGAGGGGGGCAGCGGGGGCTGCATCCCCGTGTCCAGCCCAGCCTGGCTGCAGGAAGCGGCCAGGTGTTTCAGCCCCACCCCAGACCCGTTCCCACTCACCCTCCTCCTGGAAGACACCCGCCTGGACGAGTCTGAAGGACAGAAAGACGGCGCCCTCCTGCTGCAGGGTGGTGGAGTGGGGGGGCATGGAACCCGGTGTGATGCCCCCAATGTCCGCGTGGTGCCCACGGCTGGCCACGTAGAACACAGGCCGCGTCTGACCCGGCCAAAACACCTAGGGGTGAGGGCAACAGTCAGGGGCGCCGGCGGCCCTACCACCCAAGGTACCTGGGCAGCGACCCTCACCGGTGTGATGACGGTCAGGTCTGGCAGGTGGCTGCCCCCCGCGCAGGGGTGGTTGCTCAGCAGCACGTCGCCGGGATGGAGGTCAGCCCCCAAGTGCTGGATCTGAAGCCAGGAGACAGGTGCAGAGTGGGGAGGGGGCCTGCGCAAGGGGCGGGGGGCAGGGAGAGGGGCCCGCCGAACCTGGAACTGCACCGTCTCCTGCATGGCACCCAGGTGCACAGGGATGTGAGGGGCGTTGGAGACCAACCCCCCGTCGGGTCCAAAGAGGGCGCAGGAGAAGTCCAGGCGCTCCTTGATGTTGGTGGAGATGGCCGTGCGCTGCAGGATGCGGCCCATCTGCTCTGGGGACACAGAGTGACCAGATGCCCGCTGGCCCCACCCCATCCACAGCGCATTCCCGGGGTATGGAGAGGCAGGGCCCACCGCCTTCAAGGCCTCTGAGTCCCGGACCCAGGACCCGAAGCGGGCGATGGTCCACCCAGACACTGCGAGGCCATGGCCGAGCCACATCTTACTCGTGAAGAGCACCCCCTTCCTCCCCAGCCCTGCCCGGCGCCACCACCAACCCTACGCCCTGCTTCGTACATTAAGAAACTGGTGCTGAGGCACAGAGCCTGGGTTCACCGTGCAGAGCCCAGATCACGTGGTGCCAGGAGGAGAAAAGCGCCCACCCTGCCCAGGGCCTGCAGTGCAGCGGGGCTGTGCCATCCCAGGGCCAGGGCCACACTGCCTGCACCACCGCAGGACGGCTTCCGCTTCCGCCCCTTCCCCCGGCTCACGCTTTCTCTCCGCACACCCCTGCCTGGCGCACCGCAAAGGTAAGAGGGCGGGGGAGCAGGATTGTGGAAGCCACTCACCAGCAATGCTCATGAAGCGATGGGAGAAGATGGACAGTTGGATGGGGTCGAGCTGGGCACCCACCGTGCCGGGGGCCTCAGCCCCCACGGAGATGCGGATGTCCCCAGTCTCAGTCACCTCCGCCTGGCAGGCTGGCTCCACCAGGATGGTACTGCGGGCAGGGCAGCAAAGGGGCTGCAGGAGCCAGGCCACACACCCCTCCCAAGCAGGGACCCCACGTGCCCAGGCCCAGAAGCAGCCCAACCAGGAAGGGACCCGAGAGCCCTTCAGACTCCTGCAGCCTGGGCCCCACGGGTCACCCCAGCCCCGGCAGCCGTGGCCCCGGCCCTCAGCCCACCTGTTGCTGTCAATGAGGAGGCAGGGCCCCTGCAGCTTGTGCCCAGCGCCCAGCTCGCCCAACAGGTA